ATTCGTTGATATTTGTGATATCACAAATCCCGGAAAATATGCATTGTAGTCCAAACGAGTCGTTCGTTGTAGTTTTTAAAAAGTGATTTCTGTTGAATAAAATATCTCCTTTTGAAGTGGACTTTGAGCTTTGTAACTTTGCAGATCTTTTTTATGCTCAAACAGCAACATTACAGACTAATTAAAGTCTAAAGTTGAAAAAGTGAAAAAGCATAATAGCACCCCTTTAACACTAATGCAAGGGTGTTTCTAATGCAGCGTCTATGGGAGGGATGGTAAATTTGACATCATTCTCTCTTCTGACTGCCATTATCAGTCTCTCTCAATTTTTTTCCTTTTATTGAAAGTCACGAAAACACTATCGTGGAGTTTTTCTTTTGCTATCTGAGCAAATGGGAATGCAAAAAAATATATTTGTGGTACTCCCGTTCACTGCTCTCGAAGTTAACCCAACTATGACGACTTCCGCTGCTGAGAAACCCGGAAATGTGAAAAGGGTCCATGAACTTTGTAAAAATCGACGTGTTTCAGAAAGGCGGGGCATAGAGGAGCAACAATAATGTACATTATGTGGAAGATAATCTGTTTTTTTTTACCTTAAACCGCAGAAACGCATTGCATTACACCAAATACACAACATAATGTTCTTTTTAGCAACATCATATGACCCCTTTAACTTAGGCTGAACTTCTCTTTAAGGGATTGAAGGTCCAGTCAGGCTAAACAGGTTTTCATGACAGTCTGTGTGGTTTGATGATAGATCTTGGCAGTTGATTTAACTTGTTGAGTGCCCAAACTGTATCCGTATGTTTTTGTGTTTGCAGGGAGCTGATGCCATGGTACTGGAGAGTGTGATGTTTGCCATCCTGGCCGAGAGGGAGCTTGGGCCCAAGCTCTATGGCATTTTTCCACAGGGGAGACTGGAACAGTTTGTCCCTGTGAGTCTTCAACTTTGCTGCTATGATGACTGAGAGGACATTCTGGATGTGAAACACGGTTTCGACACTAACGCTTATGAATCCCTTTCTTGCAAATTGGAAGAAAAATCAAATGACGTTCTAGGCAAATTTCTAAAATGTCACTTTTTCCATTGCTCTGAATGACGTTCTGTGATTTTTAATACACAGAAACTTAAAACTCAAGTGCAACTTTTAGTATTTTAGTTGCGTAATTGTTTCTGTTTTAGTTATAAAAACACAAACTGAAAGTTCAATGTTTGCCTGCAGAGTCGAAAATTGTCCACAGATGAGCTGAGTGTCCCTGGTATATTTGCTGAGATTGCTGAAAAGATCACCAGATTTCATGGAATGAGAATGCCCTTCAACAAGGAGCCAAAGTGGCTGTTTGGCACCATGGAAAAGTGCGTGATCATAAAATATCTGTCAAATTAACACTTGTCCTGTGCTGAAAATCCTTTAACTAAACCTTTTACAAATTGCTTGCATATAATGTTATAAAATCACCAAATTATGAATTCAACTTCTTTTCTTTCAATTAGCACATGTTTGTATTTCGTTTCGGAGCTTACTGATTGTAGGACTCATTGATCTGAGCTTATGCACCTCAGTTTTTGAGTGAATTGTTTGTAGACTGATCATTTTTGACCACCACAAGTGTAACAAGGTGGTTAAAAAAGCACAAAAATACTGGGGGGTGTCAGTAAGTAGCATTTTCAGGAAAAAGAAAATCCTCTCTTGGTCAAAATGGCTAGAACACAACCTTTAACAGGGTTAAAAAAAGGCTGTCTAGTTTGTTTAAATTGTCAGAAATGTTCATCGTGGGTGAGGAACTGCATCCTTACTGTCAGTATGTTGACAGTATTGAGTTTATTCTGGTGAAATTCAGTTTATAAAATTTTAAATATGATATATGTAAACCTAGTTCCCTGGAAGAAAAAGCTGTACTGTTTTCTGTTTCATGTTTTCTGGAAAACCCCATAGCCTTTAGTACTATCCACTGGGACCTAAATATAGATTACCAGCATTTATCATCTCATATGAATTTTCAATCTAGCTTACTTAATTGCTAAAAATAGAAGAGTAACTTTCGGTATTTGCCTGCAAATATATTGAGTATTTTTGTTGATGGCCAACACTGCAATCTTTTTGTACTCATCTACTGCACAGGTACATGGATCAAGTGCTTCAGCTCACCTTCACCAGGGAGCACCATCTACGAAACTTTTCCCGCCTTTTGAGCTACAACTTGCCTCAAGAGATGGACAGTCTCAAGTAAGATCTTTATTATCTTGATTATTCAGTACAGCTGTGATTTCACTTCTGTTTTAGGGGAATTATCATCTCATCATACATTTCCAGCATGGTTTCATTGACATGCTTTATCAGAACCCCTGAAAACTGTTCACACTTTAAGAGATTCAAGAGTGACTGATAGCAAGATAATGTATTGACAAATGTAGAATGTGTTTGCCGGCTGCTCATAATTGATGTCTTTTGTGTGCTTACTTAAATGGCTGTTTGTGTACACAGGTGTCTACTTGAATCAACTCCCTCTCCTGTTGTTTTCTGCCACAATGACTTGCAAGAAGGTTAGACATGGGTTTAGTACTGTGATTGTCTGTATTTTATTATTGTTTCTAACAAAGGTCCACTCAATGTTTAATCAAATGTTTTAAAAGTGCTGCCATGTTTTAAACAGGAAACATCTTGCTCCTGAGTAGCCGTGAGAACACAGACAGACAGAGGCTCATGTTAATCGACTTTGAATACAGCAGCTACAACTACAGGTCTGTAATATTCATAGTCACATCCATTCCTCACATGCTCTATCAGAAGAAGCACATGCAGCTAAATTCTAAGAAAACAGCCTGGTTTTGTAACGGCCAGATGTTAATGGGAATTAAGTTTTGATCTTTTACCTCCCACATCTTTGGAGCTGAATTAAAGAACTGTCTGGTTCTCTTATTCAAGACAACTCGGTTGTTTCTGATCAGTTTGGAACACTTGGGGTGCCCCATTTCTAAGAAGGGACCTCTAGACGTTGAAGGCTCTGGCAATGATCCCACACTGTTGCTAGGGTACTCACATTCTTGCGTGTGCTCAAACACAGGTCTCAAAGAGGATCCTCAGGCAAATAAGCTCCAAACTGTAACACGTTCTTTTAGGAGCCTGGTGGGGGTTCTGTATCGGCAAGGTCAATGTTCTAGTGGTGGACGACAAGGGTCAAGGCATGCTTTCTTTGTTTTCCCATCTTGCCATCCAGTGTAGTCTCCTAGGGCGTAAGTGACCCATGTTTAGGTCCATTGACAGTGCTTGTGCAGCAAAGCAGTAGGAAATGAAGCCAGGCTTCCCAGCCACAGAGATGTGTGTTTTGTTCAGTTTCCACAGCAGCTGTGAGGCTCTTCACAAAGAATATAAGAGGAACTCTGATTGCACACTGCAGATACAACTTAGAGCAAACACTGAACTAGACTATTTTAATGTTGAGCAAGCAATCTGATTGGCTGAAGAATCAGCCAATCAGCTTGTGCCATGTAATACATGACTGCATTGCTGTCTAGAGTTTCATGACTGAGCTGGATAGACTAGAAATGTATTATCATCTTCCGAAACAGCAATAGGACAATATCCGTTAATGCTGCACTTCAGCTGGATAATATTTTAGACCATGAATTTTAAAAATGAGATCTGGGCTGAGCTGTACATTTTAAAACTTTTAACACTATTTTTTTTATTTTTGGATCAGCATACTAATGTTTGGCATTTGTAGTCAGTAATACTGTACATTTATTATATATAATAATGCTGATCAGCCCTACACATCATTTGATGCCCATCAGAACTGATTTATTTATTATTTATTGAAGCCAATTAGAACAGTTTCCAAATGTCATTCTCATCAATGTGGGAGGCAACTAAACAAAACCTCCTCCACAATTACCAATGATTTCTGAACGACCAAGACTGATGCATTATGCATTATTATCGCACTAATGAATGTTGTTGATGGGGTGCTGATCTCCTGTCCTTCTCCCACAGAGGATTTGACATTGGAAATTTTTTCTGTGAGTGGGCTTATGACTACACCTTTGACAAGTTTCCATTTTTCATCACCAACACCAAAAATTACCCCACCAAAGCACAGCAGGTTTGTAAAATGACTTTTTTGGCGTACTTTTATTTCTCGTCTTAAATCTGTTAACCCTAAAAAGGACATTACATTTGATTTTGTTTCCTCAGATGCATTTCTTTCAGACTTATCTGTTGGAATCTCATGCTGGATTTGAAAACTTGAGTGAGGAGGACCAGCTGAAACTCAAAGAGGATATGCTAGTGGAGGTTAACAGGTGATATACCTACCTCAGATCTATCTTAAGCAGTTTTACACACATTTTGCCATCAATTTGTAATTTTATAGATGATTATGTAACATTTTCTTGAGCTTGTTGATTCTGAAATAAGGCCCTCTCTCTTGGGTCTCGTACTGTACTACTATAATGGATATTGTAAAAAGACATTTGGACCAAGTCCAGCAATGATTCACATTTCCAGAGACTTCCCAAACGTTCTTTCCATCTGTAATTTGTGAACTCAATGCTCTCTCGTTTAGGTTCGCTCTGGCCTCCCATTTCTTCTGGGGATTGTGGTCCGTGATCCAGGCCAAAATTTCAACTATTGAGTTTGGGTACATGGTGAGTTATTGCAAGAAAGCCATCAAGTCTTTGTGTCTGCAGTTGAGTTATTGCTAATGTTGAGTTATTACGGCGTTATTCCATTGTACACAGTGCAGCTCTTAGGTAAGACAAGAATTTTATCAACGGAGATTTAAGGGGGTCTGAATACTTTCCGTACCCACTGTATGTAAAGATACGGCCTGTGCAATATTTGCGCTGCCTGACAACTCTTTGGACATTACACAAATACTTGTGAGGTCAGGGTAACATGACTGTAAACCTACTGAGTGTGTGCCACTGTAATGTTTTTTGAAATAAAATAAAAATAAAAAAACAATTATTGAAGTTTGACCATTTTTAAAACAATGAATAATATACAATGAATGTCTAATATTAGAAAAATAATAAGAAATAAAATAAAATGGACAAAAAAACCAAAAACAAAAGGACAATGATAGTCCATATAATGCTCCTATATCTTGTAGAACTGCTCTGTTATAAATATATATCATTTAAAAATGCTAATCGTTTATTCTCTAATAATTTTTTCTCATTCTTTACAGGAGTACGCCATGGCCAGATTTGACGCATACTTTGAGCTCAAAAAGAAGCTCAGGGTTTAAAGAAAACATGCATAAATTCCCAAACGGATAGTAGGAAGAGGGAACAACTGCTCATATGGTGTCAAGAAAAGAGCGGAGCAAATTTTGAATGTGTTTAAAAGAGGATGCTCTGCGTCTGTAGTGATTCAACCGTGCTGCATGGACCAAAATCAATGCAACATACGTATTTTTAAAAAGTGTCCCCATATGCTGATTCTCAGTGTTTACAAGTTTAAGCTTCTCACATTTAACACACCAGCCTGAGCTTCTGGACAGTTGGAGAATAATAGAGAAGAATAACGAGGTCACAGGGGAAAATATTTTACGCAGCTGCAATTTGATTCACAAGTCAAAGAATGGAGTGGTGGAAAGTTCTTCATACTAACTTAAGCCTTGTGGTGTTTCTTATCACCTAGTCATGTAGTGTTATCTATACAACCGGTGATAGAAGATGCGCTGTTAAAGAGTAAGGTTCAAAAACTGGACCTGTTACCAGAAGATGGTAACAGACCAAACAATGTTAACACTGCGGTTCTGATGATTCAGCATTGTGTTTGTTTCCATTTCTGTTTCCATTTTTTGGGTGTCCTTTTTACTGGATGATTTACCTCTTTTCTACTTCTATTAGATCATGTCTTGTTTGATGTCTGTTTCTAGTAGATCCGCATGATGTGAAGTGAAATACCCGTGGGACCGCACCATCTGCGTGTAGTATGAAATATCTGTCTTAACATTGGAAAACTATGGTTTTGACCATAGTGATGTCATTCACCTCTTGTTAGAGGTGCTCGTTTATTTTTTTCGTTTATTTATTTTTTAAGAATTTGACAAGTATGAGATTACCCGCCTGTATCTGATTTGATACTGAATTGATAACTGTTAGATATTAATATAAAACTTTATAACAGTTGATCTTAAAATAACAGCCTTTTGTTTAATATAACAGTTGGTCTGATTACAATTTCACAGTGAACGTTTATGAATGTTTATTCTCCTTTTCTTTTTTAAAATGCTATAAAATAGTTTTACGACTGAACAATATTTACTTAGTTTTGCATTTTAGTTCAACTTATAACCTTAAATTGCGGTAAAAGTATTGTTTATTTTTTCATATATTTGAAATATAGGTATTGTAATACAATATTATTAAGGCAGTCTTGCTTTTTTGCTAATGGTAATGTCGAAGGCACTTTCTGAAACAGTTCTGTGAAAAAGTTGTATTAATTGCAAATGTAACTTTTCTATTATTTTTCTGCAACGGAAGTTGTATTTTTCTTAATAAGAAAGTGTTCTGTGTCATTACTGAAATAATATAAGTGGATCTCTTGGCCCTTTTTTAACTAGTATACTGGTGATCAATTGATTTCTGTTCAATCTTTCTATCTTAAATCATATAAAATAAAATAAATATATTTATTTACATGTTCCTATGTAACTGGTCTCTATGAATCTCAATTTTTAGAACATTAGTAAACAGAAAGGAAAAGTGAAAGTATAGTGTTGATGTTAAATTTTTTTTAAAAGAATAATTGAACATTATTCCGTTTTTAAAATCAGTTGTTTATCTAGACAAGCTTTACTAACTTGTCCATCTGTTAACATCAATATAAAGCCTCTGATGCTTGTTCTCTCTAAATATCCATTAAATGTAGAAATATAAAAAATGAGGAATAGAAAATACAAAAGACTTAAGTGAAACCATTCAACAGGTTGTAATGTACTAATTTATGCTTGCATATGACTGTGAATAAAGGGTTGTAAAATTATTTTGTCTCAATATGTCCTTTTCTTTTTTCAGTCCTTCCCTTAATGTCACAAAAGATTGTTTAAACTAGAATCAAAAGTTTATGATCATGTTCCAAATCTTAACTCAGTGATGATAATTATAAATGTGAAAATGAGTTTAATAATGGATGACAAAAATCCACATACACGCATACATTTACACTGGCATGTAATTCAGTTTTTGATCATAAAGCAGATTCAGCTAACCTGACAAATGTTTTCAGAGGTTTGCTAAAAGTAATGACCTAAAAGTAAAATCAACTGTAACGGACAAAATGGCAGCGCTTTCTAGAAGATTCTTTGCAGAGGTTGAGATTGCCAGTACAGACACACACACACTCACACACACCAAGCACACACACACACACATAGATTTCTCTAAACCTCCAAACCCATAAATCACGTAATAATGAGTAATGCAGTTACATGTTTTGTCCTATGTGATGACAACCCTTTACTCGTCAAAGTTCATTTAAATATTTCAAGTATCAAAGTTCTGAATGAATACTAGGATAGGAATTTAAAGCATGGCTTTTATCTTTTATTTTATGTTTGACTGGTATACATGCCAAGCCATGCTGAAGAAACGGTGACACAAAACAAAGGGCACTGTGAAGGGCTGGAAATGTTTTGTTTCCAAAGCAGCCTGTGGTAGACAATGTTGGAACAAAGGGACAGTTGAAACACCCTAAATAACTTGCTCATCACCCTTAATTTTTGTTTCACTATCATCTCCTATAAAATTTCAAGGATGTATGATTCTCGAATCCAAAAATATAGAACAATGTCTATTTTAGGGTTATGAATTTATTTTCACCCTTTCCCTTTCGCACGGAATGACTTCTTGTCCTTTCATGACGATTAAACACTTATATTTGCTACCTTTAATCTGTGTTCTATAAAGAGATTTTATATCACGGTGTTCCTCAGGGTTGTCGTGCAATTTAGAGGAATGTGTGAGGTTGTGACTCTGGTACAGTTAAAACACACTGTATTAATAATACTTGCAGGATTGCTTTAGATGCTGTCATGTCCCAGTGTCTAAAAATGGAAACAGCAAATGTATTCAGAAATTGATTTAAAACTAATTCAAACAAAATTGGATATTCGTAATCTTTTAACACTAGCTATACTGACATATTTTGTAACATTTTGAGAAATATACAGTGTTTAATGGGCAAAGCTGAAACAGTGTTTCTGGATGGCTAAATGCATCAGCATATTCATAAACTCTGCAGTTTATTTAGAGAGTGAAATTATGAAAGAAAAATATTAGTTGGCATAAATAGCAAGAAAATAAATGCTGTGATAGCGCTGTTGATCAATGTTTGATGTAGAGATGAATTATTCTTAATTGTAATTAATTATGCGAATATTCCATATTCAGTTCATGAACTGTAGGCTGGTAGCAAATTATACTTTTTTTTTTACATTACTTAAAAAAAATAACTTAAAATATTAGTGTAAAATGGCTTTTTAAGGCATTTTAACATTTGCTATTAGTGGTTGCTATTGGCAAAAAAACATTCCTAATGACAATATGTAATCTTCATCATGACCGGAAGCTAGTGGTCACATTTATAAAGTAATGAGAGTGGATTTGTGAGTGTCCAGCCAGTGAGGTGTCCCTGAGCTGCTATTTTTATTTTATTTTTTTCCTAATTTGATGTGTGAGAGCAAGAGGAGGGAGATTTTTTGGCTCTTATCTTTATCTCTCTAACAGATGCCAAAGTGAAAGGTCTGGCTGTCGTTCAGCGGGGTAAAGATAAAGGAGAGCTCAGGATAAACAGGCAAACACACTCACAGAAACCAAAATGTAATTGGAAAATAGTGGCATGAGCCACTATTGAGAATGTTTGTAGTTTCCAGTTCCCATTATACTTTAGAGTAATTTAAAATATTCTAAATAGAAAGACAAGAAAATTGAGACATTAAAGCCGGATTACAAATAGTGCATTTTGTTTACTCTGTTTTTGAACTGTTATCTTGCTGCCTTTTCAGCCTCTTGCGAGTAATTGTGCGTTTTTAAGACTCCGTGCCACGTTAAAATGTAAACTTTTTGTTGTTTACAAGATGTTTTAACTTTTGCTGGTTAACAACGTGGTGAAGATTGGAACTTAGGTTGAGGATAGATAAATGTTACGATCTAATTTATGTGTTATTATAGTAAAATAATATTTTTGTGTTCTTTGCACTTCCTTCACTTGTATGGCAGTGTATTTTACGTTGCAAAAATATTTTTTACACGTTAAATCTCTACAGTAGAGCTCATTATATATATTTATACAGCGATATCGTTGACTTGATTGCACAGATACAATTTAAACTGAACTGAGCTGGATGATGACATCACTGAATTCAATGATGAACTGCCTTTAACTGAAAAATGAGTGTTTACTATTGTCACTTTGCATTATTGACACACTATTTTCTTAAAGCCCTTTAAACTCGCCTCCAGTGGAATATCGTTACAGAATACTTGACCGAAAAAATTAACCCAGCAGTTGCACTTCTGCAGTAAGGTCAAGGCCATCGGACGATTGAGGATTATGTGGAGGATTTTTGTGGACTGTGCCATTTAGTAGACTTTAATGATGAGGCACTTAAAGAAATTTTCAATTTTGGCCTCACAAAGGAAATATCTCAGTTAATGCCACGTCACACTCCTCACTGGACTCTGGCTAAATATATTGACTTTGCACTCCGGTTGAGTGGTTCCTCATTTACTGTGGGGCTTGCAGATGAGGAACCCTGCAATCCTACAGTACTCACCACACCAGAGTGCTTCCATGTCCCAACCGTCACGTCTGGAGTTGTTCACGTCATGTCTGCCAAACCAGAGCCTGCTCATTTCACGCCAGAGTCTACAGGGCCTGCTCACGTCATGCCTGCTACTCCTGGGCCTGCTAATGTCATGTCTGCCAAGCCAGGGCCTACTCACAAGATGGCCATCAGCCCAGAGTCTCTTCGCAAGATGGCCGCCAGCCCAGAGTCTCTTCGCAAGATGGCTGCCACTCAAGAGTCTCCTCGCAAGATGGCCACCAGCCCAGCGTCTCTTCGCAAGATGGCCATCACTCCTGAGTCCCCAGCCAAGATGGCCGCCACGCCACGCCACGGTTGTCACGTCAGAACCTCGTCATGTCAAGGCTGCCACTCCAGAGTCTAGACCCATCATGGCTGCCACGCCAGAGCCTTGTCACGCCATGGCCACCTTGTCAGAACCCCATCATGCCACGGATGCCATGCAAGTTTCCTCTGACGAGACTGATTGCCAGTGTGCTGGATCCACCTCTGATATTAATGCGAGCGGCTGGCATCCCACTGGCCTCTACGCTCACAAGCCTCACAGCCTTATTACTCTCAAGCCCGGCGGGCATCCCACTGTCTGCTGCACTGCCTGTGATGGCGGTCGCCATTTTGAGTGCTTGGGCTGCACACTGCGCTCCTCTCCTGTCCATGAATCTGCGCCATCTCCAGAATCTCCAGAGGTGGCGGCTTACGCTGCAGAACCTCCCGAAGTGGTGGTGCCCACTTCTGAACTCACAGTCTGCCCTGTCATGGCGAAGGAGGCCATCCATGAACTCTTTGCCTGTACTGTCACGGCCATGGAGGCTGTCCATGAACTCTCTGTTTGTCCTTTCATGGCCAACAATACCATCTCAGAACTGTCTACCTGTCTTGTTACGGCCGTAGAGGCCGTTGTTAACCTCTCTGTGCTCTCTGTTCCAGTCCCGCCTGATCCGCCGTGGTGGTTCTCTGCACCATTGGCTCCACTGAAGTGGTCATCGGCTCCACCCTGGCTTCCATTGTTCCACATTCTGCCACTGCTCCACGGTCCAGGCCCACCACTGCTCCACAGTCTAGACCTGCCTCTGCTTCATGGCCCAGATCCACCATGGCTCCACTGCCAAGGTCTGTCATTGCCCCATGGTCCAGGTCCACCATTACTCCACAGTCCTGGTCCTCTGCCATGCCATGATCCAGGTCCTGTTCCTCTGCATGGACCTGGCCCTCCATCCCTCCCCCAGTTCCACCTCCGCTCCACCACCCTCCTGGACTTTTTGGGTTTTGTTTGGGTTGGGTGTTACGTTAGGGCATCTGGAGCCACCCTTAAAGGGGGGGATATGTCACGCTGGTTTTGGGTTTCGTTTCATGTTCATGTTTTCATGTCTTTTATTTTGTAGTTTAGTCCTGGTTCCTGGTTAGTCATGTGGTTCCCTTGCCCTCGTGTATTCCTGCTATTGGTTCCTTTGTTCTATGTGTCTTGTTCTGATTGGTTTATTATCTGGTCTTGTGGTTTTTGTTCTGCTTTGTGATTGGTTGCTTTAGTCATATGCTTTAGTTCTCATTAATTGGTTGATTTGTGTCATGTGACCCTTTTTGTTTGGTATTTATAGCCCTTATGTTGCCATTGTCTCTTGTTGAGTATTGTCCCTGTAATCTTCTGTTGGTGAGTTCATGTTTCTGTTTTGTTCAAGTCAAGACAAATCAAAGTCTAGACTTTATTTGTTAGTATTTTGGATGTCACTTTTGGACTTGAAACTGCACATGGGTTCTTAAACTCGCCTCCAGTGGAATATCGTTACAAGGAGCAGTTTGCAAATTAGGATGTATCAAATCTTTTAGGTCTGCTAAAAAAGAAACCCTGTTACTTTTGCTTTGTCTCTGACAGGATGGGATGTGATGTAACTATTTATAAAGCACTAATGATTTAGGACAAACTCCAGCAGCAGGAGCCACATAACTAGAAGCCACATAACTAGAATTCCTCCACCTAGAAAAGTAGACCAACCTAAGAAAGATTATGTAGACAACAGATAAAATAATAACATATATTCATATTTATTTGAAATTCTCTGATTATCTCTGCCCCATAGGCTTTCTTTCTAAGTGCATTACTGTAAATGCATTTCCCTCATTTTTTCTTTCTTTTCTTTTACAAATTACAAAGTTGATGCTGGCTCTAAAGCTTAATGTA